CTTTCACATGGTAGGACATTTCGCGACAAAGTTACAGTAGGCGCCATCGAGATGTTTATAAACAAGCCCGCGTTTGCCCACATGGGCACTGCACATGCGCAAGAAGAAAAAAAATTGAAACAGATTCACGTGAGGTGAAGCATTTGCGCATGCGCCGTGTCAACATCAGCGCCACCGCAGCGACGTGACGTCATAGCCGTTTTTTGGTCTATGAGACTTTCCACAGGGTGTTTTAGTATTAATTTTTTTATACAGATTTGTTTGAAAAAATTTGTGAAAGCTACACTAATGCAGTCTGTGCTGGTGAGCTATACGGCCATGCGGGCATCATATTTGGGGAGAGAGGGGGGGGGGGGGCTAATAGTCGCAATGATTACAATAATAAATATAAATTTGTTAATTTAAATTTAATTAGTGAAAATAAGCATATAGTACCAAGTAGGTACATTCATTTAACTTTTCTTTTACCGATTTCACCATAACTATTACGAGTTTCGCGATCTTAAATAGCATACCGGAAAGGGTAAAGGCCGGGTAGTCAGAAAATTTAGTTAGCAGAGGTTGCTCAAGAAAACCTCTGGAACACCCCTTTAAGGAGCTAACCCTATCGACCAATCAGGAAAATCATGATTGGTCGATAGGGTCATGACATCGCAGCCGAATTATATTACCTTATAAAGTAATTTTTTTAAAGAAAACATTTGGCGGGATTCGAACTCACGCCCTTTTGGAACGAGCCAGATTGCCATGGCTAGGCCACGCAGACCCTTTTTTCACGGGGTGGGAAGGAGTCGGTGATTATACGTTTAAGTGTCTCGCCCCACTCTTATGGCGCATTCACACTGGAGGTTGAGCTGCGTGTCCGAAGCGGTTGCGGATGCGGTTCGGGAGCGATGCCGTTCAGACACACCGACAGGCGGTTGGCGGTTGGCGGTTTGTCGGCGAGATCTACGGCAACCCTGTTTTACGATCCAAAAATACCATTTAATCCACGATCCATATCCAAAATATTGCTATTTTGGCACGCTGAAAATTATTCTTCGGGATGTTGGCATGCATCACGAATTCAGGCAGCAAAAAAGAGACACGGGCCCTCAAAACCCGCCTGCGATTTTCTCGACTTTGCCCATAAGCAAAGCCCAGCTAGGAGCGCCTTGCTGACTCAGAACAGGATGCCCCGAACCTTTTCTTCGAAGTGGACCCAGAATAGAGGGCCAGTTTCCCCCTCTCGTTGTTCGCTCTTATCATTTTCAGAGTTGTGAGTGGAACTGGTGGACTGTGGTGCGAGGTAATGTGTTCAATGCCAGCCGGTCGTTGCTTCGTTGGTGGCGGACTCTCCTCTCGTCACTTGCACGTCGATCGAGTATGTACTGTTATTGTTGATGTTTTAAAATTAAGTTCAAATAAACTTCGAATGCATTACCTCTGCATCGTCTGGTACGTACACTTTATTTCTGAAGTAGGTTCCCTTTATTCCTTTTGGTATTAGTAAACGTTACAAGTCGAGCTAGCGCAGGTTCCCCACCAGCTCCGCGGTACATTCTCAACAAAAGGGTTGTCGTAGGGTACTACACTTGGGGTAGTCAGAAGCCGTCACAGATATCGCTACCCTCCCTTCGTTATACTAACAACCCCATGGGCAGTGACGCGGCACACAATCAGCAGGTAATCCCAGTGAGCACCCCCAAAAGCAACATGGCGGCTGGCAAGCGACAGTGGAGCACTACGAGTAAGGTCTAGCGAGCTGGACTGCTTTTTGCTAAAATACGATTCTCAAGTGCGTACGCCCGTTCGCTGCCTTCCGTGCGCACAAAGCACTCCGAAACGCCCCTCGAAGCACCGGCACCGCACCTAATACGAGTAGGGGCGACGATGTGACGGGGGGGGGGGGGGGGGGGGGGGGGGGGCGCATTCGAGGGGGTTTGTCCGCGATTGCTTTCGCGAGGCCGGCTGCATTTACTTCGCGGCCAGAAAACATTCAAAGAAGGAAACAAAATAGCGACAAATGGAATGATGTCTTTATTGAACAGAGCATCTGCTTGCTGTGCTTGCCGCAAGTGATCCGGCGTTTTCGGTTGACAGCGGCGAGGCGAAGCATCACCGATTTAAGCGGCGTCGGTTCCGATCGTTCAACGCTCCTGCTCACCTGTTAGCATTCGTTATCCACTTTCAAGTCCCTGGTAATCCTCACCGCATCTGTGCACGCACTTGGCGCTATTCACCGCACGGAAAACCCATTCAACTGGCTATGGGACTGATCCCATTTGGACGAGAGGCCGAGAACCGAACCAGACCGGACCCTTTGTGGCTGCTACGTGGAGCCATGGAACGCCTCCATGTTTTTCACTCAAATAAGTAGACACATAAACGCGCGACTCCTTGAATTGAACGGCGACACGCGCCACCTTACGGACAGCGGTCAAACTAAAGAAAAAAAGAAACCAGAAATTCTTGCTCTGAGCGCCTCATCAGACAATGCCGTATGTACATATCCCACGCCACACTTCACTCATACGCGACATACGGACATCACAGCATTTTATACATCAACGCATTCAGAAACAGCACAAGATACAACATCACATATTGACACTCTACATTCCTATACACACGTTTAGTCGACACCACCAGCTTATAAAAACTGAACAAAAAACCGCGGAATTACGTGTCATAAATCTAAACGCGCGCAGTTTAGCTAATAAAGTTATTGAACTCGAGCAGGTACTAATGCTTTATAACCCCCATGTTGTCGTGGTAACAGAAACATGGTTACACCCAGAAATAAGTGATGGAGAGTTACTGCCACCGGGGTATAAGATGGTAAGAAAAGATAGAAAGACGAGAGGAGGCGGCGTAGCATTGATTTTTAAAAATAATATCGACTATGTAGTGATGAAAGACATTCAGGACGTTGAATGTATATGGTGCAAAGTGAACTTTTACAATACACACTACGTAGTCTGTGCATTTTATAGGCCTCCGGATGCTCCTAATTCAGTCTTGGAAGCACTACACGACTACCTTAGTACTAACATTAGACTCGGAACCAGACTAATTATTGCTGGGGGTTTTAATTTGCCTGGAATTAATTGGAATGAGCTTGATGCAGGACATATGGATGTAATTAATAGCGAACTTCTTCTCGATATTGCGTTTGACAATTGTCTTACGCAAGTTGTTACGGTTTTCACTCGTGAAGTTGGAAACAGCTGCTCGTTGTTAGATTTAATATTTGTAAGTAGTCATTTACTCGAGTATGATGTGTCTGTTTACAAGGGTATCTCTGATCATAAATTAGTATTTTCATGTTTCAAAACTGCTAAAATCTGCAAACAAACAAAGTGTTCTATCCAAGTGCCTAATTTTTCTAAAGCGAACGACGAAAGTGTGCTAGATTACCTCGATCTGTCATTTTCTTGGTTTTCAACTTTCGATCGTATGGGTGACGTGGATTTTTTATGGGCTGAATTTAAACGAATTGTTACCTATTGCTTAGAACATTTTATACCCAAACGGAAGAAATCAATAAGAAAATCGAATCCATGGGTAACCCGAGAGATCGTACAACTCAAGCGTAAAATAAAACGCAAACGTCGTAAAAGAAAGGAAAACAAAGAAGAGTTCCTAGAGCTTTCATGTCTTTTAAAGCAAAAGTTGAGTTCAGCGAAGGGACGTTATTTTTCTGAAACCCTACCGAATTTTATGAGAAATGCACCCGACAGATTCTGGCGTCACTTAAAACCTCGGAAAGAGCGATTAGAATATATAATTGAAAACAATGAAATTGTGACCGATCCAAAAGATATCGCCGATAGGTTTAATAACTTTTTCCATAGTGTATTTGTTAATACAGATGGTGCTACAGAGGACTTGAGCTTAAATGCGACAAGTAGTACTATGGGGGATATAATAATCACTGAACAGGGAGTCTTTTCATTACTATTAAATTTAGACGTAAAGAGGTCAACCGGGCCAGACGAAATACCCAATGAGTTTTTAAAAAGATATGCAGAATGGGTTTCAAAATACCTTACCATTATTTTTCAAACATCACTAAAACAACACCAAGTACCCCCCGATTGGCGCAGTGCGAGGGTCGTACCAATCCTTAAAAAAGGGAGTAAGCATAATATTGAAAACTACCGCCCCGTATCTTTAACGTGCATGGTATGCAAATTATTTGAGCACATTATTTCTAAAGCTTTATACAAGTATTTTGAATCCTCTAACATTTTTCATTCTAACCAACATGGAGTTCGCCAAAAACTATCGACGGTCACGCAACTGATCGAAACGAAGCAATGGTGAACGGTCATTTGACCGTTCACCATTGAACGTTCACATTTGACGATTTTTCAGCTTCTTCTAATGAGAGAGGACAGATTGATGCGATATGCCTTGACCTTTCTAAGGCGTTTGATAGGGTACCCCACACTGAACTACTTCATAAACTTTCTTTGCATGGTGTAAATCAGAACGTGATATTCTGGATCAGGGCGTATTTATTTAATCGGGTGCAGTATGTAGAGGTTAACGGTGACCGTTCAATTGTATCTGAAGTGCCCTCGGGTGTCCCCCAGGGGTCAGTACTCGGGCCAGTATTATTTTTAATTTACATTAATGATATCGCAGCGGAAATAAATCAAGGGGTTACTGTGCGACTATTTGCGGATGATTGTCTGGTATATTCAAAAATCGAGGAGCAAGACGACCAGCGCAGATTAAGTGCATCTGTTGGGTCTATTCAGGACTGGTGCTCGAAATGGAAGATGAAAATTAATACACAAAAAACTGTTTTCGCACGAATAACTAACAAAACTAAGAATGTTCTTTCTTATACTTACGAGCTTGATGGGAGTCCTTTGGTTGAAGTTGACAGTTTTAAATACTTGGGTGTGACACTTTCTAAAGACTTAAGTTGGAGTAAGCACATAAACGAAATATGTCACAAAGCAACGAAAAAGCTTTGGTTTTTAAGACGGAATCTGGCCAGTGCTCCGCCTAAAGTGAAGTTAATGGCCTACACAACGTATATTAGGCCTACCTTGGAGTACGCTGCATCGGTATGCACTCTAAGAAAAAAGGGAGGAGAAAGGTAGCAAGAGCGACTGTTCCTCCTTGTTGCGGACAAGTTGCCCAGAGAAGGGAGGAACGGCAGTTCAGATGAAAGGAGGAGGGCGAGTTCCTCCTTGTTCAGTTGGCGCAGGGGTAGAACATCGCGCTACTGACCGAGTGGTCAACGGTTCGATCCCCGGGAAAGTGGGGTTTTTTTTTGTTTTTTTTTTTGTAAAGTTTTTTTTTTATTTTTGTTTACCAAAACACACATAAACAAACCCATACCGATGAAAGGAAAATTAAAGTCCTTATTATTCACCGAGACGTTTTCCTCTTTCTCCAGGCAGACCGGAGAAAGCTTTCGCCCTCCCGACCCATCTTCTTTCGGTTTCGTTTTTCGAGCACATCGTGCACGTTGTTTAATAAATTAATGTTGAGCTGATTGAGCTTCAGCGGCAGCGAAGGCCGCCTGTAATTCCGTCTTTTAGTCCAAACGTGCAGAACATTTCGGTTGCATTGACGTTTTTACCACTAATTTTATCAAATGAGCTAACGAAGCCGCTAGAAACAGCGAAGTTCCGGAGCAGTGCCAGCAGCGCTACATACACTGGGTAAGACGGGGTCCATATCACAAGAGCGAATGAAATTTTAGCGAACGGCGACATTTGAGCGAATGGTCGTTTTAGCGAATAACGGGGGCGCGCGTTAACCCATCCGTCGAGCTGCGCTTTACGCCGCTTCGCGGCGACAGTCTGCGGCAACTCATTACAAAAATATGAACTCACTTGGCCCACCCGAAAAGTGGCATTCGATGAAACGTGGGCGTTCGCTAAAACGTCATTCGATCAAGCGAGTGCCTCCCGGGTAAGACGGCCGTCTCCAATTTGCGGGACTCACGCGGAACTACAGCAGCGAAACCACGAGGAACTGTGTCGACGTTTTCGACGTTATGGAAATCGCGGGAACTGCGTCCAAGGAAGGCATGTTTTCCTGCCGGCTGCCTGGGTGCCTTCCCTGCTGAGTTCGGTTCCGTTGTCCCGTGCCGAGTGCCAACCAGCGTTCAACGTGATTCTTCTGCGTGTCAGCAACATCGTCAACGTGGTTCTGTATTTCTTCGTGTCAGCGACATCGTGATGGGAGTGTTGTGGGTTGTGAACAGAAGACTGGAATTATCGCCGATGTGACCGTGTGTTCGCGTATCAGTGGCGTAACAACAAGATGAGATGGCGTAAACTGTCGGGCATTGATGCCGCTAGTCGGGCCGTTATCGGAGGGGCCGGGGTGTCGCAGGATGACATTCCGCTTTACATTAAAGAGTTTAAAACCACTTGAGGGATTAGGTGCAGTCGATCGACGTGTTGATAGTCATGTTCGAACGCTGGTATGAACGGTAAGCTCCTATCGTACAGTGGCCAATCTGACTGTCGGTCCCCGATAGCGATTGCGCTCTAGGGAAAAGACAACACTACGAAAGTATGACGGAAAGTACGTATATTTATAATGGAAGTTCAGCATAAAAAAAAAGACAGGCAAAATCGAAAAAAAAACGCTATCCTTTATTTTACTGTTTAAATATATTACGGTTCCTGTAGAAACTGCCCTCTAAGTGGCGCGCTGGGATGAGCGCTATAAGTTTTCGAGCTCGCAACGGCGCAGCTCCGTACACTTAACAGTTTTCGGAAGTCGCGGCTTTGACTGCATTCAAGTTGATCGAAAAGCGATTTCTGTGCCCGCGAAGCATCACTTCCAGCTGAGTGGATATCTGCTCTACAGAGATTAATTCAAGACGGCAATTGCAGCTTTGCGCGAACAGCACAAATAGAACAACGAACACTACAATATAAATACTGGCTACGCAGGGCCATGCGGGAAAGCAAACTCATGGCTTGGAACCACATTGGAGCGGCTCGATTTATTGGCTTTCAAATAATTAGGGCATGATCGAGCGTCTTCTTTTTAATAAGAGATTCATCCCCTGAGCCATTAAAAATAGCCTCAGATGTATGACATTGCTGGAAAAAAATGAACATGTTCGGAATATTTTTTTTTTGCTTAGGGAGTCACCGAAAAATTCCGTACGTTCAAAACGACCACTATAAAAGACGGAAACGCAGGGCTCGGTAGTAGTGATCGGGGTAGTGTGCTGTTGTATTGATGTTTGTATGTGCGATGCCTGTGTATGCGTTCAACATATGTTGACCTGATGTTTGTAGTGTGCGCAACGTTTGTAGTGTGCGCAACGTGTCTACATGTGTTAAAAATTCCGAAGAAAAGGAAACGCAATTGTGGCGTAAGAAAATAAAAATATTTTTTGTAAAACATGAATTGGGCGGTACCTAGCGCCACCTAGCCTAGCTACGTGCGATTACTCTGCTTGACCCTGCCATCTGGTGGCAAGCGATTTAACATCCTTTTACGCTACGCGGCTACGCCATAATTTCGTGTTACCGTGCTGAGATAAGCCAAGAGGTTGCTTCGGATTTGCTTTTTTTTTTTGAGAGCGGCTTTTGGTTTTGCGGGTGAATGATTTTCACTCCTCCGTGATGTGCGGTTGACGCTACGGTTGACGAAGGAATTGTGGCTCGAGGAATAGCAAAGGTAGGACATAAAGTGCGCGAACTGAGTGCCGGTTGTCTCGGTTGAACATCGCAGTGCTGACGATGAGAAGACTGAGTGACTGCATGCTTTCGAAACGTAAGTTTCTTTACCTGCAGGGGTAAAGAAACTTCGGAAATATATACAGTTCGCGGAAAGCTCGTGTTACGTTTTTATTTCCTGCTCCTCTCGCTTCTAGCAATAGACTTAGTGTTCTCGTTAAGCCTTACCGAGCTCGATTTGCTCGATTCGTGGCCGCCATAATGGGATGCAGTCGACGGAGGAACTTTTCCTCCCCTGCTTAAGGGACGAAAGTTTCTCCCTTTCTGAAGGAACATATGTGTCAAGATGGTTCCTCCCTTTAGGGAGGACTATACTGGCCCTTTTTTCTAAGAGTGTGGGACCCCTATAGAAAAAATCAAATTGGTGAACTGGAAAAAGTTCAGAGGAAGGCGGCGCGATTTATTCTATCCAAATACAAGCGACTTGATTCTGTCACAGATATGCTGAACAGCCTCAACCTCCCCTTACTTTCTGTCGGTCGAAAAATTGCTCGACTAAAGTTATTCTTTATGTTTTCTCATCACCTGTATAACATTAACCCGGATTCTAGATTAACACATCGCGCATCGAGAGAACTCAGATACGTTAGCACTAATCAGTTTGAAGTGCCCACATGTAATATTGACGCTTATAGGTTTTCTTTTTTCCCTAGAACTGTGAAAAACTGGAATGATCTCCCACAAAATATATTGTCATTGGACTGTTTAGATGATTTTGAGAGCGCCCTTTTGAATATGACTGGTTTGGAATGATAAATAGTAGTTAAATATTTTTTGGAAACTTCGTTAAAGATTTCGAGTGCTGACAGTTCATTTTGTTGAGTGCTATATAATATATTGAATGTTTGTGCTATTTCAGCCCCTTTATTTTAAGTGAATGTCGCTGAATGTGTACTGTATTGTAGTCCTGATGTTGTATGTTTCAGTGCTCTTCTATACCCCACACCTGTTAAAGCCCCATACTTGGGGTGAACAGTATTCATAAATAAATAAATAATAAATATACTGCTGTATTTTATGTGACCGATTAGGATGGTGACCACTGTCATATTTTGCATAAATACGAAAAGTCTGTGCAAGATTTAGCCGTATATATTCTTTTCCTCTACTGCCCTTAGGAAAGCGCTCGTATCTCTAATGTAGGGCCATTGCAAAAGTGAACTGTAGGTTATAAATAAATTTGAATAGTTGCTGCACATCACATTTTGAACAGTTTCGTTTTCTCGCTTGCCTACACTTCAAGTATATAGAAGCCTGTTTAATTAATTCTATTAATTATCGAAACCAATTTCTGCAATCACAACTTTCTGAACACACTGATGCATTTTTTCTTCACTTTTTACATATCCAGACTGACTTTAGCGGCGGTTGGGTACACGTTGAGTACACTGAGCACGCGCAGGTGATTTTAGCGAAGCCCGTCCGCCGGTCCTCACCGAAGTGTTATTTCAGTTTTCTTCTTTTCGCTAAATATTCGTTCTATGCGCTCGCGCTCGCGCCAAGAGGACAGTGCAGAATTGCTGCTTTCGGGCCCGTGCCTTCACCTGCAACGAACGTGAAATACGTATGCTAAATTATCTAAATCCTGGTAGAGACAGTAGTGTTTGACTGCGTGCGTCTGACTGCGTTGCGGCAGCAAGAAATCAGGACATCCCTGCTGCTTATGTCGCGTGCCAAGATGATTCCTTGAATTGGATTCCACGCTTGATACGAAGCACAGACGTGCCGGTGAGTGGCTTTCGGTTCTCGACGCAACGCTGTCAAACGCTGGTGTCTGAACCGGCCTTGTTTGAAGCATTTTTTTTATCGAGTATGCTCGATGAAATGTGCCAAATGAACCAGAGAAGGCGGATCATGTACCTCGCGACAGAGAAATAGTGAAATACACGGACATGATCCCAGATATCTGTGTACGTTCGCCCTGTCCGGCCTCAGTCGTGGTGTTCAATGCTTCATACTTCACTGCACTTGAAAGCAAAAAAATTGGGTACGACAGGCGCGCAAGTTCGGCGGAACCGAGGAGGCCAGTTGCAACTGATCTGCACGCAGAACTGACCGATCACACCTTTATTGAGAGCACGCTTTTTACTGAACCGCACAATAAAAGACGACGAGAGTATCTCGTCTGGCGAACATTCAAGTCAACTCACGCCTGTGCGTAGCTTCCTGCGCTTTCCTGGAGATTTGGTTAAATTCCTCGAGCACGACGCCAGCTGCCAGCTGTTTACTGCTGTACATGGTAAAACCCGCGGCGGAACCAAAAAGGACAACCGCGATACTTTTTATCTGCCTCGGGTTTAGCAGGTGCCTACCAAGGTTGCCTGTACTTGTTTCTTTTCTGCCAGTTTAGGCGAACTGAGCCACACGCTTGTTTCGACCGGTTCAAATTTGAATAAATGATAACCAACGCACAAAGAAAACAAGTTTCAAGTACTTTTTGAGATTTTTGAAGTTACTTTTACTATTGAACGACTGCATGCACTTGAATGTTCAATTCAAGAGTTTATAAAACGTAACTACCCCATGCTTGTCACCTGCCAACAGGGTGCTAACTCTCAATGGCTCGAGCCCAGTGGATAGTTAAGTAAGCCTGTGGGGTAGTTACAGCCGTCAAAACGCACGATGACGAGGGGGGGTGCTCACTTTTTCTTAGAGTGTAGTGTGTTGGTCACGCAATCAGGCTCACGTCGTTTCCATCGGCCTTCGTGGTGGTCCTGCACATTGCCGAAAGCTTTCAATAGAGAATATTCGTAGATCGCTTTCGCCTTCCCGTAAAGTTCTCCGCAGCCCGCTACGATACCCGGAATTCTACAGCCAAGGCCATCGGCGCGCAGGGGCAGTAGCGGCTTCTTCGTTGCAGAGGGTTTAGCGGATGGGGAAACGCGGTCTACGAAAACTCCTTAATAGTTCACGCGACTGTCTTAGTAGGTACAAAAGCTAGGGTGCTAACTCTCAATGGCTCGAGCCCAGTGGATAGTTAAGTAAGCCTGTGGGGTAGTTACAGCCGTCAAAACGCACGATGACGAGGGGGGGTGCTCACTTTTTCTTAGAGTGTAGTGTGTTGGTCACGCAATCAGGCTCACGTCGTTTCCATCGGCCTTCGTGGTGGTCCTGCACATTGCCGAAAGCTTTCAATAGAGAATATTCGTAGATCGCTTTCGCCTTCCCGTAAAGTTCTCCGCAGCCCGCTACGATACCCGGAATTCTACAGCCAAGGCCATCGGCGCGCAGGGGCAGTAGCGGCTTCTTCGTTGCAGAGGGTTTAGCGGATGGGGAAACGCGGTCTACGAAAACTCCTTAATAGTTCACGCGACTGTCTTAGTAGGTACAAAAGCTGACATTTCGGTCAATCAGGGGCGGGTTCCGGCGTTCTACGGGCAAAGACCAACAAAGCAGCGGGCAACGGGCTGTAGAACCCGGATTAATAAACAATCTCTTACCCGAACCAAATCACCGGAGCATAGCCGGTTAAGATTAAGATTCAATTCTTTTCGCGTCGGATTCAAATGACGGACCTGAACATCACGTTTCTCCGTTGATTTGTCTGCTGTAGCGCTAGGACTACAGCGCCTTGGACGCGTCACCAGCGACAGATGCCATTTGTTTTTCGAAATCCATCGACGTCAAGTCAACGTCGCGTTGCGATTGGTTGCCGCTTCGCGGTTCGCGAAAGTGGTTGGAGCAAATCGGTCCCGAAGCAGTTGCTTGGCGGTTGAGAACACGCGGATCCGCTTCACGTTTGCGGATTCGCTTCCAGTGTGGAATTGCCATTAGAGGCGAAGCTCAAGCGTGCTCCTGCATTTTTACAGCAAGCTTTTAAGGGCTAGTTCCTCCACTATCGTGTCCGTGCACAAGCGGTGTGTCGACACAAAACTCGAGCCAGCTCACCTCCACCCTACGTCATTGTCTCACCTACCAATCGTGAGTGTCCTGTGCCCCGTGACGTCAAGATCGCGCTAGCGCTCTTATCGGGTGCTCTTTGGACTCATGGGTCGGCCGCGTGCCGTTCGTCCGGAGGAAGAAGAGCGGGAGCGCAAGGAGCGGCGACGTGCGCAGCAGCGCGAATGTCCGCGCAAACGCCGCGAAGCCGCTATCGCCTCGAGTTCCATTGCGTCGAGTGGTTCCGAGACCCTTGCGAAAGAAGAGCAGAACGTTCGCCTAAGCGCCGCCAAGAGCAGAAGCGGCGATGTGACCGGCGCCGGCGGGCCAAAGCCACCGACGACGATCGTGCCACGGAAGCCAAGCGCAAGTGCGAGGCCTGGCGACAACAGGACGCCATGCTGGCTGAGCAGTTCTTATAAATACTTCAATCCCACCATAGTACAGCTTCACTGGCCTTCCATCTTCACCAAAGTGAAAAGGCTGAAAGTTTTATGGTATCTTAATTCACGCGATTGTTGTGCCTTGCGACGCGGTTTCTTTACGTACGTTTATTTTTATGCCGGTAGCAGAGGGCCTGCTGAAAGCGAGCTGCGCGCCGGTCTTCACTGAAAGACCGCGGTCAGCAACGGGTCGGTTGGAAGACCTCATCCGGCCCGGATTAGACCCGCGGGCCGGGGTTTGGAGACCACTGGTCTAGACCAATCGCGCGCAAAAAAAAAGGCGCTGGATCACGGCGTATTTGCTGTGCGTGATTGGTTTTGAGCCGGTGATAGAAAACGCACAAGGACCACGAGCACCACGACGACGCACTTTTGGCACTGGTGGTTTGGCTCAAGCGGATTATGCGGAGGGCAAGTTCGTCTGCTTCTTGCGCACGGGGTAGCGGTGACGTCCCGAGCCCTGATTGGCTGATCGCGACCCTCTATCTGAGCGTCGTCCGCTCCTTTGCAACGTCGTCTGCGGCTGTCTTAGTTTTCCTGCGACTTTCGGAAGTGCAGAGGTCAGATTCACAAAACGATCTTAGGCCAAAAAATGCGCGTAAGACAAAACTTAAGAACAAATTCGTATTCACGAAACGAAATTTTCGTAAGTTTTGCGCAGGTTACGACGAAATCCTACGACAGTTACGCACTTCTTACGATCAAATCAGCATGGCCGACAGCGTCGCGATCGTGACGACCTACGGACGTTTATTTTTCTACGTGCGCTTCTTACGCGTCCCGACTTCAAGCAGCAAGAAAAAAGTAAAAAGTACTTGAAACAGACCACGACGAAAAAGAACGCTGGATCCACAAGCACCCGGGAAAAGCTCCAACGGCCACGATTCCACCGAACGCGACCAAGCGAGCTCTGCAGTTAGGCTTAGCAGGCACTCCGCGACTCGGCGACCGTTTGCCCACGACCGGCTGGCGTGCTGAACGGAATATGCCCGCGCGACCCCTGTGAACCCTTCCCGTATTATAGTTTGATCGCTGACCTCAATTTTAGATTAAGAGGTCAATCTCTTCCTCTTTTCATCTCCTTGTTTTCCGAGGCAACGGTGACTCTCGCCGGTGAAAAAGCGGTGAATCTCCGACAGACCCAGGAAAGGTAAAGCAGCCATCACTTTGACTATACTCCGCGACAACTTTTCTTGGCAGTGCAGTGGAAGGTACAGGCCCGCGTCCCCTCTCCCATTTTGAGTGTGCTCGGGCTCTCCTCCTCTCCCCGGAAATGAGGGAGGAGGAGAGCCTGCGTACACTCAAAACGGGAGAGGGGACGCGGGCCTGTACCTTCCACTGCAGGGTGATTCCACGTCAGTTCATGCAATGGTAGTCCGGGTCATAATTTTGATATTTTTGTTAAAAATATATATGAAAGCCATGTTCTTGGGAGGAACATTCCGCTATATATGAAGGTCGTAACATTTTC